GGGTGTGGGTGGGTGTGTATATCTTCTCTTAATATATAATCCCACCCATACCCACACCCACACCCACACCCCATATCCACACACCCACACCCACACCCACACCCCACATCCACACACCCACCCACGCCCACACCCCACACCTACACCCCACACCCACACCCAGCAAATCAAGAAGTAAGCGAGGAACAGGCTGCACATATTGTTCAAAAATGGTAAAATCGTAAATAAATGCGCTTATCGTATATTATGTCAGATCAAAACAAAGAATAAATTTGATGATTTTTAAATAAAAGTACGAGTTTATCATAAAATAATTCTATTCGAAAATATACTTTAATAAAAATGTATTTATTGATAGCCATAAATGAGGAACCTATAAATAGCAGGAATAATTCGAACTTGAAGCATTCTATTTTTCAAGTAATTAATATATTGAATGAATTAATAAAACATTTTGTTAATAATATATTGATCATTTAAAGTAATATCACTTCTCTCATATGAGATTTAAGACATATTATTTGTAAAAAGTCTATAAGTCGATCTAAGCAAAAATCAGCATATATATATATATATATATATATATATATTATCTTGAATATTTCTGAACAAAATATATTGAAATGAAAAAGATTTGTCTCTGCTTGTCCTGGAATCATACCAATTATTTCTTGATTAATTCATCAATCATGAAAGCCATCATACTTAATAAAGTTAATCTATGTTTTTCTTGCTCAGTAATAGATGCATTAGCTATTTGTTCATGTCATTGATAGAGTGAAAACATAAATTAATATTTACCACCAGAGCCAATTTTTGATGCTTAGTAGACACCAAAAAAGTTGAGTGATGAAAAAGAAAACTTTTTCTCTTCTGAGACTCGCTTTATTTTTCAATTCTTTTGAAAAAACTTCTCTTGTTGCTTGATTAGTAATCATTATTTTTTACAATAAATCTCAACGTCACAAAAAGACGTAGGGTATTATATTTCAATGTTTTTGTAACTTTCTTACTATTTTCAAAAGGATTAATGCACAAATCATGAATCAACTATTATTATTCACATACAGATGTATAAGAGCTCTGTTCTCATACTTTTAATTCAAAAAAGAATCAAAAAATGGCTTCTGTATTTACACCACCTAATATTCAACAATCTCATCATTTTCAATGGTATTGGAATTCATCGCCTAATCCATGGTCTGGTGTAGATGAAGAATGGCAGATGTATATGCATGATAAAAATAAAACTATTGAAGATGCCTATAATGCGGGAAAGTCACAGATAGAAATTGATGATAATTATGTGATTGATTTAGAATATCTGCTACAATATAACAAAATTGATAACTCAAATACACGTCAAATCAAACGTGTTCAACTTGAGAGTGATCATAGAAACGTTCATCAACTTGAAGAAAGATTTTCATCGCCAATTCTACTTGTTCCTGAAACATCATTAATCCAAGAATCCGATTTAGAAGAAGATACACTTGAATATCTGCAGAAATATGGTGATTTTCCGGATGCTTACTATGAACAGGAACTCTATAACAAAGATAAAACCTTTGCTGATGTCATTGATCAGGCTATAGAAGGAATTTTAAAAGAAGGTATGTCTTTGGGTAAAGAAATAAAGGCACGACAACTTTCTGAACAATTGTTGGCAGTCAAACATTTTGGTATCAACATTATACCAGACAGATTCAATCTTCCACCAGAAGTTGGTGAAACATGTGTTCGACTCTATACAATGGATTCATTTTGGTTCCATCTAATTAATCGTATTACTCGTAATCCAGCGACTATTACTCGTGAACACATTAAAACATTAGGACCATTCTGTTATTTACTTGAACTGTATTTGATGAAATTCAGTACAAATGACATAAAAACAGTTTATCGTGGTGTATATCTGACTGATGAACAACGTCAAGAGTTTATGAAACAGAATGTGGTTTTTAAATCTTTTACTTCCACAAGTAGAAATCGAGCAATTGCAGAAATGTTTGGAAATACACTTTTAATTATAGATTTAAATATTAAAGATCCTCAGATGGATGGAAATATGAATCGTGGTGCAGACATCTCACCTTTATCTCAGTTTAGTGTTGAAGAGGAATTTTTGGTTTGGCCTTCAGCAGAATTTACTTTTGTTGACTATAAATATGATGCTGAAATTAAAAAACATATTATTTATTTGAAATCCGCAGAGCTGAAATGGAATTAGTACAATGATCCACATCTACATAGATGTTTTAAGCATTGTTAGATTGACGTAATTGCCTTTTTAACATCTTCATTAACAATAAAAACTACAATTTTTTCTTCACCAGATGAAATACCTGATACAGTAAGAACCTTGGAATAAGCCTGGTAACGTTAACATTTATTAATGTTAACGTTGAGCGTAGAGATTGAGCTCATATGCGATGCATTTTAAGTAAAAGTTTAAGCGCAAACCTATACTACACTTAGTACTTTATGCAGACGTTTAGATGCCGGTGGTGAGATACACATTTTCTGATGTCGTGTTGTACGCTGACTTCAATGGTGAAACCCGTAGCTTGTTAACTTTGTTAGAAGAAGTTGTGGGCGAAATTATTTTCCAGCGGAAATGGGAGTTTTTCAATAGAAATAGGGTGTGGGTGTGGGTGTGGGTGTGGGTGTGGGTGTGGGTG